GTATTGAAGGAAAAAGTCAAAGCTGCACTGAAGGAACTGGTGAAAAACAAGGCTCCAGGAGTTGATGGAATACCCACTGAGATGTTTCAACAAATGGATGCCATGCTGGAGGCACTCACTTGGCTCTGCCAAGAGATTTGGAAGACCATTACCTGGCCAACTGACTGGAAGAGATCCATATTTGTACCCATTTCAAAGAAAGGTGACCCCATGGACTGTGGAAATTATCAAACAATATAGGCACTATGCCACCAGAGCTCCCCATTAAATATCACACAGAAGTAAAATCTTACTGAAGATACTTCAAAAACAGTTGCAGCAGTATATTGACAGAGAACTTTCAGGAATGCCAATTGCATTCAGAAGAGGACATGAATGAGGGATATCATTGCTGCTGTCATATGGGTCTTGCCTAAAAGAAAAAAATATCAGAAAGATGTTTACTTCTGTTTTTTGACTGTGCCAAAGCATTCAATTATGTGGATCATAACAAATTATGGATAACATTGAGAAGAATGGGAATTCCCGAACACTTAATTGTACTCGTGAAGAACCTGTACATAGAACAGGAAGGTCTTGTTTGAACAGAACAGGGATACTGCATGGTTTAAAATCAGGAAGGGACTGTGGCAGGGTCGTGTCCTTTCACCACACTTATTCAATCAGTATGCTGAGCAAATAACCTGAGAAGCTGGACTATATGAAGAAGAATGTGGCACGAGGACTGGAGGAAGACTCATTAACAGACTGTGATATTCAGATGACAGTAATTTGCTTGCTGAAAGTGAGGATGACTTGAAGCACTTACTGATGAAGATTGAAGACTACAGTCTGCAGTATGGATTACACCTCAATACAAAGAAAAAAAAAACCTCACAACTGGACCAATAAGCAGCATCATGACAAATGGAGAAAAGACTGAAGTTGTCAAACACTTCATATTACTTGGTTGTACAATCAACACGAATTGAAGCAGTAGTCAAGACATCAGACCACATATTACATTGGGCAAATCTGCTGCAAAAGACCTCTTTAAAGTGCTGAAGAGCAAAGATATCTCCTTGAAGACTAAAGTTTGCCTCACCCAAGCCATGGTATTTTCAATCATTTCATATGTATGTGAGAGCTGGACAGTGCATATGGAAGACTGAAGAAGTGTTGATGCTTTTGAGTTGTGGTGCTGGTGAAGACTACTGAAAGTACCATGGACTGCTGAAAGAACTAACATATCAGTCCTGGCAAAAGTGCAGCCAGAATGGTCCTTGGAAACAAGAAGGGCCAGACTTTGTCTCACCTACTTTGGTCATGTTGTAAGAAAGGACTATTTTCTGGAGAAGGATATCATGCTTAGTAAAGTGCAGGGTCTATGAAAAAGGGAAAGCTCCTTAACAAGGTGGATTGACACAGTGGCTGCATGATGGGCTCAAGTATGACAAGGATCGTGAGGCTGACATAGGACTGGGTAGTGTTTCGTTCTGTTTTACATGAGGTTGCTATGAGTCGAAGACTACTTGATGGCACCTAACAACAACAACAGCAACATACACAAGTTTTATTTTGTCAGTGGAACCCCCAACCTGTTAGATGCCTTTTAAGCCTGGAATTGAACTCATCCTCATGGCTAAGTTTCCAGCCAGACAATTGTCAGGTCTATAAATGGAATACCACAACCAGGGAGGTACACAATTATTAGAACAATCAACTGTATGATATTAAAAGGGCAGCATTTGCCCAGGGATAAAGCTCAGAGACAGGAAAGAATGGGAAAGAAGCATGAAGGGAAATGGTAAACACAGTGAAGAAGTGGGAAGAGTTCTCTGTTACATGGTGGGGACTGCAATGAATAAATGTTTTAAAAGTAGAGGGAGAAAAAGCAAATTTTATTTTGTATATAGTTGTGAAGGAGCTCTGGTGGCACAGTGCCTAAGGCATTTGACTGCTAACCAGAAGGTTGGTGGTTCAAATCCACCAGCCTTCCTCAGAAGGAAGACTGGGCAATCTACTTCTGTAGTGGTACTGCCTTGGAAACCCAGGAAGGATTGCTATGAGTCAGATCCAACTCGACAGCAGTGAGTTTGGTTTTGGTTTTGGTTATATAGTTGTGATAACAGTAAGTATATAGTTTTAATGAAAGATTTCAGTACATCTATTTTTCTTTAAAAGTATAAATTTTGCCAAAAATGTGTGCTTTTTTTACTTAACCATCACCCTGCTATTGTACCCTTTTATTTGTCTCCAAAATTTTGCTATCACAATAAAACATACACAAACTTCTTTTTGCAAAATTATGCTTTTGTTTATTTAGAAAAACTTATCTGTGTTAGAGTTTCAAAAGTGGAAATCTTGTGTTACTATCTATGAAGATTTTTGGGGAAGGAAGTTCATTAACATACATTGCAAAATTGAAACATAAATTTTATTTTTGTTTCTGGTTATTATATTTATTTATTAAATAACATTTTATCGTGTTTTTGATGGAAGTTTACACAGCAAATTCAGTTCCCATTTGACAATTTCTATACAAATTGTTCAATGACATTACATTTTTCACATTGTGTCCATATTGTCATTAACTGTGTTCTAGTTATTCCATTTCCAGTACTGTAGTTTCCCTGCCCCTCTATCCTCTCATCATTGTTGTGAATTAAATGTTGACCTGTTGGAGTCATACAGATTTTTTTTTAGTAAAGCACCAATGTAATTAGTAATATCCTTTATTTTGTGTGTCAGTCTGCTTTTCTGTTAGAAGGTAATCTGAGGGAATAGTCTCAGGGAGTCCTCTGGTCTCAGGTAGCCCAGTTAGTATAGCCATTTTTAAGAATTTGAGTTTTGTTCTACATTTTTCTACCATTATAATCAGGATCTTCTATTGTACCCCTAGTCAGATTGGTCACTGGTGGTAGGTAGCTGGGCACCATCTAGTTCTTCCAACCTGAGGGTAGCTGAAGTCGTAGTTTGTGTAGGCTATCAGCCTATACTTATACTTGTTTCTTCTCTGATATTTTGGTTCCTTTCTTACTCTTTTGCCCTTGATGAGTAGAGACTAGTAGTTGTATCTTAGATGGTCACTCACAAGCTTTTTAAACCCCAGACATTATTGACTTCATTGGGATATAGAATATGACCTTTGAGAGCTATATTATGCTAATTGACTGAGTTGTCCCATGAGTCAATGGTTCTAAGCCTTCAAACCTAGAACAATGATCTTGGAAGGTGTTTGTTTATATCTGAGGAGTATCTGTAGTTGTGTCTTCAAGGAAAGTATGCATCTCCCTACACATGTCTGTATTTAAGTGTACATGTAGATAGATCTATCTGTTCCCACATATGTGTACACCTGCACCTACCTGTATGTGTATATCCATCTTTATGTGATCCTAGACTCACTTTGTTTTGTATTTTGTTAAATGTATTGCCCTTCTATATGTCAATTCTTTGGTATAGGCAGGCCTTTCTCATAAGTACTTCTCAGTGTCATTGTTTATTTTGGTTGTGCTGTGCTTCCTACACCCATATTCAGTGCCACTTTTCTCATCACCAAAAATAACAAGTAGTTATGATCTAAAGCAAGTTCCCCATTCTTCCACTCCTCCCCCTGGTAACCACCATTGAATGTTAGTCTCTTTATATAAGTCTATGCTTGTCTTCTTATAAAATAAAGTTCATACAATATGTTTTTTTTTTTTTATGTGCTTGACTTATTTCACTTACCCTCCAGGTCTATCCATGTTATACTATGCTTTGCAGAATCATTGTTCTTTATGGTTGCTTAGCATTCCATTGCATGTATTGGAGTATTTTATAGATATGTATTGGAGTATTTTAGATCAGCAATATGAAACATTTCAAAGGTGATGTGTTGGATTGGGTTCTCTAGAGAAACACAAAAACCAGCAAAGTGTATATATATATAT